AGAGCTTACAACTTCTCAGACAAAGTAACAAAAGTAATAATAGCATTTGTAAGTGGAATAATAGAAATACAGAACAGGTATCCCAGCCTAATATAAATGGTCTATGAGAATATATACCAGAAAAAGTAAAGATCTAAGAATTGGTATGATATTGGTAAGATGAAAATGAGGAGGAATAATGTTCCAGGCAGAGGGAACACAGTGTGAAATTTTAAGTATCAGGAATTCATGGCATATTCTATGAAATGTAAAGGAGTTTACTTTGGCTGGAATGTAATGATTGGGGGGTTTATGGCAAATGTATCAGCATGACCAAGTAATATGAATCTTTTAAGCCAATTAAAGGAGCTTGGAATTTAAGAAGAAACCAGTGGATGGTGTTTCATGGTTTTAAGCAGGGGATTAACACTCTATCAGGGAGAAAAAATATGAAGGTGGTTATATAATAATCCTCAGAAAAGATGAGCATGGTCCTCAGGAGAGACAGTGAAGATAAAGATAAAAAGATTCAAAACATTATTTTGAGAGAAAATCTTCAGAATATAGACTTCCAGCTTCTGTAAGGGTGAGAAACGTTTTTATGGAACTAAACCTCCTGCTAATAACAATTATAAGCTCTGGGCATAATGTGGGAAAACACAACACATAGTTGAAATACATTGAGAGTGACCCAATGCAAGTAGAAACTTAAGGAGATTAGACTCTCTTGCAATAGAATATATATATATATATATATATATATATATATATATATATATATATTCCTCACCCAAGGACATTTTTGCATTTATCTTCAGATAGAGCAGGAGGGAGAGAGGGAGAAAGAGAGAGAAGCATCAATGTGAGAGAGACATATTGAGTGGTTGCCACCCACAAGACCTCAACTGGGGCTGGGGACGAAATGCAACCAAGGTACATACCCTTAGTGGGAACCAACCTGACACTTTCTGGTCCATGGGCTGATGCTCTAAACGCTGAGCCAAACCGGCCAAGGTGAAACCTGTATTTATATCACTTTTCTTTTACATGCACTCCACATCTGCAAGGTGTGTGGGCAACTAGACCTCAACAAGAAAGTAACAGCTTCTGAGACATCGAAGTAGGGAGCATGGAGAAGCCAGAGGAGGAACATCTCACAGTGGAGGGAAATTCTGAAATGGGAACCTCAAAATCTGTGTATAAACTCTTCCCAAATCCTTGGCTGACCCCTGAAATAGGCACTTGTAAAGCAAAATATCAAGAATCCCAGGGAAAAACAATGGCTGGAAAAAAATAGCAGAGTAGAGATTTCAGCAACTTCCTACTGCTGTGGAGACAGAGTAGGAATTAGATTCCCACCGAATAGAGGAGCTTGATAAACACCACAAGCCAGAAGGCAACCTCACAGGCAAGGACAATTTTGATAGGACTTAATTTTGCCCTAGCACCAAGGATAAAAGTGAAATAAGTATATGAATAAGTAAAATCAAAAGCCTCTACAAGATCAATGTGATCCACTATTACACACACACACACACACACACACACACACACACACACACACCCCAAACTGCACACAAAGTCTATGCATTTAAAAGTGCTACTGGACTATGGTAATAGATTGCATATGGATGTAATGTTGGCGGTGAGATCATACATGGATTCTATATTTCAATCTTGAACTAATGCTGTTATAATTCATTTAGATAGCAAGCACCCCATGGAGAAGATTGGGAGAGGAAGTTTTGATGCTATATAGAGATGGGAGAAAGTAGGTTAATGATATAATAATAAATAAATAATAATACAGGAATAAACTCTTTCATGTACTCATAACTATAAACCTACTTTTGCCCACCTCTGTGTTGTGGATTACCAGATCTAAGCAAAGCAGATTTCAGAGAAATTATTCTACATCAAATTTTTCTGGTTAACCCTGTTCAAAATTCAACTCCTTTTAAAACTTCATCTTTCTTTCACTACCTGGGATGGGAGATTGGGATGCCAGGGTTAAAATTAACAAACGAAACAGTTATTTACAGGTACTCTGGTGGTATTCTCACAAACTATACACCCTTGTCTTAACTTTAGCAACAAAAAGGAATTTAAAGCTCTTTTATAAAATATTTTGAAAATATAGGATATTTCACTGATAGTAATTATAGTATTCAGGTTGTGGCTCAAGAATACATTTAGACTTAACATCTTCCTGAAATAGATCTGGATCCTGAACAGAGATTGGAGAATTTATTTGTAAGTTGTCATTAAATTATATCTCAAAACTGTCCACTATCAAAAGGTCCTGCTCATATTGCCTGGAATAAATAACTCTAGTGTGCTGAGTTAAATATTAATATTTTACCCAAATATTTATTCTTGAAGTAACTTCTCAATGTTTGCCATTGCATTTTTATGTAGTACTTATCTATTTTATGGTTTTATATGTTAATATTGTATTTATATAATCCCCATATTTTTAAAAGTATTTATTATTACCCCTAATATTGCAAACTCTCTTGACTTGATGGTAGTAGGTGCTTGGAGTTTTGCAGTTTTCCCTAAGTTCTGCTTCCATTCACTGTACCCTGGAGCAGAACTAGCTAGGCCTCACCTCTCATCTGTAGTCTCTCTCTGCCCACTTTCCTCCCCTCAGAAAGAAACGTTGAATACTTGCTGGGCTCCAGGACGTATTCCAAACACTTGGCATGAATTACCCCATGCAATTTTTTCCCATGACCTTGTGAACTCGGAATTTTGAGACATAATGTTCCTAAGTGCTAAATACTTGTGGTATTTGACTTCCTATGCCATGTCCAATATTAAAAGGTCAGTTAATTAACCAAAATTATATTCATTCAGCTCACCAATTTAGGGGAAATGTATCAAGTATAAGATGAAAATAGAATAAGTAATTAGTAAATTACTCTTTCATAGGTAAGTGGGAAATTCCACAGTCATAACATTACTAAATATTGGAAAAGGTATGACTATGAATTGTGGTAAACTTTAAAGCCTAAAATACTAACCAAATTTGTTTTAAACCACCTAACACATATTCATCCATTTAATCATTCATTCATTTTTCTTTTTTTATACATGTACTCATAATATCAAAGCACATCTATATACAACTATGGAAAGTCAATTTTTCTGTTTTCTCAGAATTTTAGCTAAAGGTCCAAAGCTGAGAAAGTAAGTAAAAAAGTACTTCCATAGTTACAAGTGAAAAGAGAAAAATTTAAGTTTCTGTGGATTGTGTATGAGTCAAGTTTGTTACAGGTGTTCTTGCATGTAGTCCTTTTAGAAATTCTAAATGGTAGGTATGGTTATCTCTGTTTTACATCTGAAAAATCTGAGACTCAGACAGGATAAATGACTTGCTGAAGGTTCAAAACCAGAATGAAAGCCAGATCTAGTGAATCTAAAGTCTATGCTCTATTATGTACAAAATACTGTATCCCCAAAACAGTATAAATCTTCCTGGGGAATGCATCCTTTTGGGTCAGGACAGCCATCTCTCTCTCTGTAGCTGTGACATATTGGGAATATGTACTTCATGATATCTGTCACCAAACAATTTTGACTTTAATGGAGAGTGTATAAAAAGGAATCTAGCTGAATGGGCCTGGGGAGAAATAATAGATATGCCAAAATTACATACAGACTTTAGTTCATCAGCCCTCATCACCACACTCAGAAATCCAATGACAGTATATCTTTATTCTCATCAACGACACCATTTTTCAGAACCATCCTTTATTAATGCAATTATTCAGTTGATTCAGTGATATTAGCTGTATTCTCATTGTTACCTTACAGATTATGCATTGATAAGATATTTGAAAAGAAATATAATTTTGTAAAGACAGGACTTACTAAATAATTGTATTATTTTTCTATGACTTATCTAAGGAGTGCAAAACTATGAGTAAAAAGAAATTCAGAAGAAGAGCCAAGATATTTTGTATATTTCAAAGAAATGATATTAGCAGGAAGGAAGCAAATAGCCTAAAATGATATCCAAGGCATTGCCATGTCTTTTTCTCTGAAAAACAAATAGAAGAACATTTTAGTACCATTAGACTGTTCTGTGTAAAATTTCTTACATATTTTCTCAATTGCTTAATAAAGAAAGGGAAAATTGTACTTTTTCCGGCATCAATGCCATGTGAAGTTCACACTATACTGAAATCCCTTTCATATTTCTGATTAAGTTAAATTAACTTGCATTGTACAAAACTTTACATTACAAAAGAAACATTTCTAAAAAAGCACTGACTGTCTATCTCTAGTTGTATTTTTATAGACTTCATTTTTTCATCTGAAGAATGCTGAGTGTTCATTTTCACAGGAGGAGAATCAGGAGAGACCTATAGGCAGCAGGAAGGGATTTCAAAACGCCGTGTCTTTTGGCTTGCCCTTTAGGCCACGCTGTTTGCTTTTTAGTGTGTTTTTGCTTCTTGACACCATGCCAGCCTCTACCCACTAGCCTCACAACCAACCAGGCCCATTAGGACGGGTAATTAGTTAAGGTTATGTTTGACATAAAAACCAAGGTATTTTAAATTTCCAGGTGATTGTGCAGTTTTTTTGTTTTTTTTTTTCATCACTTTGAGTCTTTATTTTATTCCACTCTAATACAGATTGGTTGATATTATTACAGCTTGTAGCTTGCAAAGTGAAGCGCTGATTTGGGAGAACTGACTTTGTAAATACTGTGTAGAATGACTTTTATATGGACCTAGTATATTTAATATGTGTGTTTTCAGAGTTTATACTACATTTATGATATAGACAGACATAATTCTCAAAAATTATTTTATTTTTAAGAAATTGCTTAAGTCCTATAACTATTAGTAACTTTGTAGGAATATATAAGTACCAACTTTCTTTTTGGTAAGACTTCTTTATTTGTTCTCCTCTTTATTTTTTTTTCTCTCTCTTTTAAGTCAGGATATATCATGGTACTTAATGCACGCCTCTTAGCAAATACCTACCCAAAACTGCATAACTAGGATGTCTTATGGTTCCTTTAGGCTACCAGTCTTGGCCTAGTGAGAAAAAGGACATTCATAAGAAGTTATAAATCAACATTAAATTATAATCTGATTAATTGTTAGTAAGTAGTTATAGGCCTTCTCATTCAAGGCCAAGGCCATATATGCAACAGTACCATTAACTCATTGTTTTCATAACTAAGTCCTATAAATTAAGTACTACCTTTATATTTTTCCATTAGACAACAATTTCTTACATAAAATGAATCTTTGATTACTCTACCTTATCTTCCATGAGCTCTGGGGTAATAGTTGGGTCTATAGCAGGAGCAAAAACATTTGTTGTGCTGGGTTTTTGTGAAGTTGAAGGAATGAACATTCCTCCACTGGCATGCCTAAAGTTTATCATTTTTTTGGATAAATACGGTGTCACTCCTCCTGCTGGCTATAGAGAATGAGAAAGAAAACAAAATGGTTTCAGATTCAAGTACAAGGTCAAATTGGGAAGAATATAAAGCAACAGAACTGAGATGCAAGGCAAGAATTCATTTAAGAAGTAAATGCTTTTAATATTTTCTAGGTTATAGTCTATCCTTTAGAAAGACTTTGCAGATGTGCATGTCTCTTAATACCTGATTTTAAATGAGTGTACTTAGGAGAGTATCTGACATATAGTAGCCCCTCAATAAATATTTGATGAACTCAGTAAATTGAATCTTGACTGGCCAAAGATGCAATAAGTGTTGATGGAATAATAATATGAAAGTTTTCATCAAACTGAGCAATAGTGCAGGACTCTGTAGGTTGCCAGTTGATGATTTCTGGTAGCTAGCGAAGTGTGGTAAGGGATCTTACCATCGCAGCAGTTTCGGGAGCTGTGCCCATGAAGGTATCAAAGGCTAGTTTCTGCTGTCCTCCTGGTATGACCTGAAAAATGGAAAAGTTTATATAAGTCCAAGTTACTAATCTCTAAGGTATATTGTTTTGCATCCAAGGCAGTTAAATACTTCCCAACTTCTTAAATTAGTTTCTTAAAAACAAAAATAATCATTTAGGTATGAGAAAGAGAAAAGCAGCTCCCGACACAGAGAACCTGGCCTGACCACCATAGCTCTGCGTATGTTCTCAGGAGCTTCTTGCCTGTCATCTTCTGCTCGGCCCTGCTGTTCTGTTGAACATTAAAAATCCTACCAAGCACCAACATTAGACAAGTTAGCCTCTGAGCACAGTGAAGTGGGACAATGTAAGACCACCTTGTAATCTTGTCTAAAGCAAGATCACAGTGTGAGCCATGAAAATAACCAGGCATCGTCATATCGTGGCTGATCTAAGTAACTCTTTCTTCTTTACCAAACACAGGCTTGCCTTGCTCCATTGTTCTTACCTTTTAGGTAAGAATCATTGTTACCTAATCACAGAGCCAGGGTGAACCATCATTCTGTGAACTCTCCCCAAAATCACCTGATCCTATAAGAAGTCATTTCAATACTTTCCTGTTAAGACACCCCACAGTCCTCTATGGTGTATGTCTGCCCTTATGACAATGAGTAGATAAATCTAACTTTGTTCAATTAGGAATGTGTTCCTGATGGTTTTTGGCTGAAAGGCACCGGTAGATTTAATAAGTTCTGAAACAAGTATTTTCAAAAATTAGTTGGTTTTTTTTTTTAACATGAAAAGGTATACATTTACTTACAGGTTCAACTTGTTGTGGGATATATCCAAACTGAGTATAGAATGGCATCTGTCAGATTTTTGAAAAAATGCATTAGATTATGATGATTTTTTCATAATTTGTGATAATTGATTACATAAAATTATACATATATTTAAATATGTTTTATTGATTTTGTTTGAGAGAGAGAGAGGAAAGAAGAGAGAGAGAGAAACATTGATGTGAGATAGAAAAATCGATTGGCTGCCCCTTGCATGTACCCAACTGGGGATTGAGCCCACAAACTGGGCATGTGCCCTGACCAGGAACCAAACAGAGAATGATGCTCAACCACCTTGACATTTTTTAATGTCCATATGTTCTAGGTAGCAAAAATTGTTAAATGACGAAGCATCATTTTAACATCATATGATTTCTAGGTTAAAGCTTTTTCTTTCTCTAATTTACTATGACAATTGGAATTACTACTACCAGTCATTGAAAGCATAATTTTTAGTTTTCTCTAATTTGGTATGGTAAGTTTTAGAGTAATGATAAACTATTAATTTTTTTCCCAATCTAACTAAAAGACATCTAGTTATTATTAGCTACCTGAATTTATATTAGAATTCTGAAAATTTATTGCAGATCCAAAAAACTTAATGTAATTTTATTTAATTTTATCTCAAGATATGGTGGTCATAGGTAGCTTTTATCATGGTAACTATTTTTTTTAATTGATTTTAAAGAGAGAGGAAGGGAGAGGGAGATAGAAACATTGATGAGAGAGAACACTGATTGTCTGCCTTCTGTATGCCCCCCACTGGGGATTTGGCACACAATCTGAGCATGTACCCTGACCGGGAACTGAACCAGTGACCTCTTGGTGCATGGGTTGACCCTCAACCACTAAGCCACACTGGCCAGGCCAAGGTAGCTATTTTTATACTTTATGTATTTATTTATTTATCCTCACCCGAGGACACTTTTTTTGCATTCATCTTCAGATAGAGCGAGAGGGAGGAAGAGAGAGAGAGAAGCACTGATGTGAGAAATATCAACTGACTGCCACTCACACAACCCCAACCGGGGCCAGGGACAAATTGTAACTGAGGTACGTGCCCTTAGCAGGAACCGAACCCAGGTCTCTCTGGTCTGCGGGCTGATGCTCTAATTGCTGAGCCAAGCTGGCCAGGACTTTATACAGTGATACCTCGGTTCTCGAACATAATTCGTTCCAGGAGGACGGTCGAGAACCAAATTGTTCGAGAACCGAAGCAATGAAACCCAATAGGAAATAATGGAAACTGGATTAATTCGTTCCAAGCCCCAGAAAATGCCTATTTACTGGCCTAATTTGTATATAATATGTAGAAAAACATAAGTCTCAACAAGAAATAAAAGTGTACAGTATGTCTAAGGGTTAAATTCAGTGTAAAGCGTGACTCTCTCCACAAAGCGTGACTCTCTCTCTGCACTCACACTGATGACGCGAGCAAGGCGCGCTGGGCCGAATGAACGCCATTCGGCTCAACTCGGCTCATCTCGGAAGTTCGAGTTCCAAATATTTGTTCGGATTCCGAGACAAAAGTTTCTCGAATCTCCTGGTCGAATACCGATTTGGTCGAAAACCGAGGCGTTCGAGAACCGAGGTATCACTGTATTTTATTTTAAATAATAACCACATGCATATATGAAAAGAGGGATGCTGGCAGATTTTTTTAAAGTTAGAAAACTTCATTTTCCAAGATGATTTAGATTTTAGCCTCTGATTTTATTAAGTTCAGTAACTGATTGTATTCTTTTAAAATCCAGTCTTAGAACATTCCCAAATTAGTGATACAGTAGAAGAAAGCACTATATATTTTTTCTGACCATCAGTTCAAGCTGTTGAGTTTCTGCACTAAATATACTCAGATACTCTTTTCTCTAAAAATGTACCTTATCTTCTCTTTTCTCAGATGGAACTAGTCAGATTAAAATCAAACACTTGCAGTACCTGCTCCTCAAATTGCTGCTGTCCTGTGTGTGGAGGTGACTCCGTGACCGTTTGCTGAGGCTGTTCCCAGGGCAGGAGCATGTAAACTGGATAGTACTGAAGCATCTATTGGTAAACAGAAATGCACATAAGAGCTTCCTTTGAATCGGCATAGCTGCCCCCCCCCCCAATCTTATATGTCAATATTACTTTAAAGCTGATTTACATCTGGCAATTTTATGAACAAAAGAATACATAAAACTTTTCTTCCCAAACTTAGAAACAACTTGTATTGCACATGATACAGACTAGCCTTTGTTTCAAGGTTGCTTGGTCAAATTCATTTAGGGAGTAGAGTGTTCAACTAAATAACAGACTTTTTTTTTTTTAAAGTGCACCTTGGGCTTTATAAACAAATGACTTTGCAAATATCTAAGAAGAGGATAGCCTATGTAACATTTCCCTTATATTTGTTGAGAATCATCTTTCTGCAGGACATGGTATGAGTAGTTCTACTATAATGAATACAGTGTCAAGAACATATTGCTCTTAATAACTGAAATTTTATTAAAACAATCCATATGCATCTTAGGATATTTTGAAAATCCAGAGACGAGGAACAAATAAAATCACCTGCAACTTCACCATCCACATTATATGTCTGTGTGTCTATACGTGCATATGTTTACCAAAAATGGGGATCATAATATATACATAGAGTTTTATATGCTGTTTTATTCTCTTACATAATTAAATAAGACTAGATTAGACATAAGAGTTAAAAACAATAATATTGGCTTGTGAAATATATTTGGTACCGTGATTCTTAATCCTGGCTAAGAATCACAATCACCTGTTGAGCATTTTAGCAATTAATTGTATTTGGGATCTACTTCTGGGGTTTGATTCATTAGATATGGGTCAGGTCCAGGCATTGTAATTTTCAAATTTACTACCAGAGAGTCTAATGCAAAACCAGGGTGGAGAACCACTGGTTTAGTGGTTAAAAGAAGGGTGAAGAATTCCATTTCAACCCAGCTATTTACTTTCATTAGGACTGGAAATTTAATATCATTAAGACGTTTTATCCTAATATTTAAAATGAAGTAATTCCATATGTTATGTATCTAACTCTCTAAATGCTATGGCATACGATGAGATAATGTCTAGAAATAACTTTTATTTTGTTTTAGGGTGGGACAAAATTACATACGTATGATTACAGTAGAGGCTAGTGGTGTACATTTTTATGAATGCTCAGCACTCTGTTGGTGAATAATTTATCTATATCCTCATTTCTTTGAACCCAGGATATTATTAAATTAATTAGCCTAATTTTCTTGAGAGAGTTTTCCATATTACTTTAAGGATTCTACTAGCTTGTATCCATATTTTTAAGATTCTCCTGTTTCATAGATGTCACCACCATTTGATTGTAATATGGAGTTAAATTTAAAATATAAAAGAATCTGAAAAAATATTTTGACCCGAACTTTGTAACTGTAAAATAATGTGGGCAAGTGTTTCTTATCTCTTCTTCATCATATCATATTTTATCACTTTGATGTATCTCCCTCTCAAACAAAATTTAGGGTTGGGTAAAGTCTTCCATGGTATTTCTCTTGAGTTTAGATGCAGAAAGGACATAACTTAGGGCTTGGTGAGCTCCTTTATTCCCATCATGTTAATGCCCTGGGAACTCAGTAGTCTTGAGGACTCTCCTTGGCTGGTCTTTCTTTAGGAGTTACTAAGTGAGCCCAACATTAACAGACTGATACCAGCCCAGCAATAGTAGTATCCAGACAATGATACCAGTGTATGGGTTTTTATAGCCCTAAAACAGGAGTCAGAACTACAAATATAAAAGAAAGCATTCATTCAATGGCAAGTATTAGTAGCCATCTCTCTACAGGAGTGATGCTATCCTATCTATTTACCTGTGTTTGCTCTTGAGGCATTTTAAAGAAGACATAGGGTATCTCCTGCCAAAAAAAGAAACAAAAAAATTTTACTTGACTTTTTAAATTTTCAGAGCTGTTTTTCTTAGATCTAGTCATACAAATGATATATCAGCAGACTTCTATGACAACAAAACCTCACCTATTGTATGTATTATCATTAATGCACATTGCCTTCTTTTCCCTAATTATATTCTCCAAAACATGTTTTAATACTTTTGATTTGTGGCTATCATGCTACAATAGCTGGTTGAAATGGTATTTTTCATGTTAGAAATCAGAAAAGATAAGGAACTTCTAGTGATGGTAGAAACATATTGTGGGGAAGAATTCTTGTTCAGTAACTCTTGTCTTATTTTAAAGCTGGTCACGTTTGTTTTCACATTCAACGCACATTATCTCTCTGCAGAACAAGGTGGAAGTGGCTCGGCTTACCTGATTAGGGCCCTGTTGGGTCTGCACTGGTGTCTGAGGCTGTGAGGGGTCCAGTTGTCCCAGCTGGTTTCCCTGGCCCACGCTGACCTGTCCTGGGAAAGTTATCTGATTTGGAAAAAGTCTAGCAACCCAGTCTAGAGTTGATACAGAGGCTGGGGAGAGTCCCGGAGTTTGGACTTGCTGCTGCTGTTGTAGAATCCCAGAGAAGGGGGGGATCCATGAGTTAAAAGGGACCTGGAAGGACACGAAAGAAAGAAAGGAAACATCAGGTTGGTGAATCTTCCTCTGAAACAAAATTTGAGGTTGGGTAAAGTCTGCTTTTCTTTTTCATTTCAGAAATCACTGAAAATCAGTCCTGAGCAAGTAAACAATTTCTATATATTCTTTGCTGCATTATTTTAAAAAAAAGGATCTTGGCACATTATGAGCTATGCAAATATCACGAACAATGCTAAATCCCCAATGTTCATGAGAAATATGGGGTAGGTGAGGTCTATAAAGAGTATAGTTTCTGCAATTGCCAGACTGGGTTCAAATCTGTTTTGGGGGGCAGGGGCCAGTTAGCTGAGTATGACTTTGTGTAAACTAGTTAATTTAACTACCTCATAGCTGTGAGAATCTGTCTCACATGTTGCAAGTTCTCAAAAAATAAATGCTAATCAGATTATAATGTTTACTTTAGTGTTCAAACAAATGGTCATTAGAATATATGGGGCAAATTCATAACTTTAAAAATTGAGATTTCAGAAATGGAATCAGAAAAATTTTGTTCTTATAAAAAGTGCATAAAAAGGAATGAACAGTATTCTTAAAATAATAGTCAGGTAGAGGTACCTGCAGCTGCAGTGGCTGAAGCGGAGCATTGTTGAGATTCAGCAGGAACTAGGAAAGGAAAGATGACATGAAGACAAGATTACGATGTGGCAAAAGTATTAAGAACAATGTCTGCTACAAATACAGCACAAGTCAGAGCTGACTAATCTTAGTTTCCTGTTAGAGGTGGATGTTTTCTCACTAAATTTTACACTAAATTACAGGGATTAGAGACTGAGATTTAACTACCTCTCTCCTGCTGTGTATGAGATTATACAACTTTAGCCCATTCCAGTGGTTCAGTTAGTCACGTTATGCTCTTAAATATCTATATACGCCTGTATTAAGTGCTATTAAAACAAAAAAATACACAAGATATTTTCATTGCTTTTAAGGAATTTACACGCAAACAAGGCTAACTAATATTCTGGAAAGTACCTGGTATATAAAACAAACATGGACATTGGAAATACATTTAGATATAAGAGCACTGAAGAACCAAGGAGTCTTTTTACCCCTAACTAGGTTTTGAATTTCTGGCTTTTATCTCTTCCCCACTGGGCAAAGGAGGAGATTGTTGGAAATAGCTAAACTAACCTCGTTGCTGTTGCTTGCAGACAAGAGGCGCTGTGGGATAATCTAAAAAAAAAAAAAAGGTAAAAGAAGGATGTGTTAAAGGTTTTATACAGTGGTTTGCAGTGGTACCATATAATCACTTACCGGGGCTGATATTGTGGCTCCCAGTAGCCCAAAAAGAATGATAGTTTTCATTTTCAGATGAAATATCTAGAAAATAAATTGGGAAATTTAGCTTTAAAAAGACTGCATAAAAATCATGATAAAAATTAATTGGTATTGTTCAATCAGGAGAGTAGTTGGGTGAATTTTACAGTATTTGCTTATATATTAAGATTTAAAATAAAATAGTCATAATACCTATAATAGAAATTAGTATTTTCTCTCAGAGTAGAGAGGCAAACCAAAATTGTCTGCTTGTTGTTTAAGCCTGACCAAAGGACTCATTTGGTGGTACATGAGGTAGTTGAATGAGTTGTAAACAGGATGGCCTCATGCTCTGTGTTGTTCTACACAGAAAGGAGTGGGTCCACCCGCCCATGCCTGGGTCCTTATTATGAAAACAATTTTAATGTCTATTTCATATAATAGTAAAAATACTACAATGAAGATCTGACAATAGCAGTTTAATACTAAATAATTTTCATTGAGTAATCTAAGAACATTACATATTTATTAAAATTAGGAAATTGAATCAATGTTTTTCTAATTCATGGAGCAGTTTATAAAATTAAACTGCAACCCATGGAAGTATGTTATGTCTTGTCCGCTAGCTGCGAAAACCCTGCCCTACTTCAGACACTGACCTACAAAGCAGCTAGGGTGACCTCGGTAGGCTAGCCTGTAGGGCTGCTGAGCTTGGTTCTTAACATTGTGAAAGCAAAGATTTAATATCTTACCTGCTCCTTTGCCTGTGAAGAGATATCTAGAACCATGCAGTCTGTGTTCTTTTTATCTTTCAGCTCTGCTGCTTGGAACATCTCTTATATTTTAAAACCCATCTTCAGAAAAAAAAAGGGCCAATCACTTTTCAAAAGAACCAGTGATTCAGTGGGTTTCACACAATGACTTAGCTAATAACCCCTTTCCTAATCATCTAGGTGCTAAATGGATTCCCACACTTTTAGTAATGCCATTAAATTATCCTCTGAGAAATGTTTCCTTGTGATCATTCCTGGTTTCTGCTTTGGTTACGACTACATTTTCTAGAATAATTTCATTTTGTTCTTCTTTTAAAATCATCCTTAAAATTGATACCCTAATAGAATAACTTTAAAAGCCTTTACTTAGGTTAACAGTTGATGGCTGATTATTTTTATTTTAAGAGGAAAATACAAAATTATTAGATATAAGGCATAGGTCTAAAAAACAAAAAATCAAAACATAGTTAGAGACAGTCAAGAGTCTTTGGTTTGTCAATGCTGGACTAAGTAAATATTAGCTAATTTCATTTAGGTTCAACCTTCAAAATACAGTAACTCTCTTTCCACTAATGGAGTAAAATCCTAAAAAATTTGCTAAATCTCTATGTGTCTCATGTGATTGGATGCTTGGGTTAATAATTTAATAAATAGGAAACATGATAGTCTATATATTTAAAAAAAATAGTGATGAATGTTTTGAACTTTAAAAATACTTTTTTGTGCCCAGGCTGATTCGGCTCAGTGGTTGGAGCATTGGCCCATAGACCAAAGAGGCAAGGGTTTGCTTCCAGTCAAGGGTTCGTACCTCGGTTGTGGTTTGTCCCCAGGTCAGGGTTGTGCAGGAGGCAACCAGTTGATGTGTCTCTCTCACGTTGATGTTTCTCTCTCTCTTTCTCTCTCTCTGTCACTCTCTCTCTCTCCCCCTCCTTCCCACTCTATCTGAGATAAATGAAAAGGCATCCTTGGGTGAGTATTAAAAAAAATACTTTTTTGCTAAATATAAGTTTAATATTTAAAATACAACTAAGTATTATTATCTGTACATCATTGTTATTTAAATTTTCTTCATAAAGTGAGGTTTGTGTTTGTCTTGTTTTTCCTTGTTGTTAATATTGACCTTATTTTGATAGTCTAGGATCATAAGTGTTGTAATAATGTATTATCAATTAATTTCTATTGTGGAAGATTTCTTTGGCTAATTTAATCTTAAACAACTAATGGTGGCCTTATCATGCAGGAAAAGTTATTGCCTTTGAATAAATTTGTTTTTCTCAGGAGGATGATACACTTCTTAGAACTCGCATGGCTCTTCATTACTGCAATGATGATAACATTTGTTATCTAGCCAAAAAATAAAAATAAAAAATAAAAAAAACCAGGACAAAAGAAAATTACTTTAAATAACAACCCCACCTCTGCCTCTCTCCTTTTTTTTTTATTAAAGAAAATAAGCTATTACTAGGATTGTATATCTGTTAGAAAGGAACTTTCCCATAATTTAGGAATGTTATCTTTTTATATTAGCTAAATAGGCTACCCTAGATGTTGATGGCTGATTTAACTAGAGCTGGGTGGTTAATGCAACAAATTGTTGCCTGGAAAATCCAGTAGATTGATTGAGTAGGTGGACAAGGTAGCTGTTGCTATATTGCCTAATGATAGATATTTATAATTAATGACTTTGGTCTATTCTGAATATTATCAAATTAAATTTAGTTACACCATAACCTCTCAGTCTCCTGACATTTTCTACTGCATTGTGCAGTCTTAGACAGCTAACCTCACTCTGAGCCAGAAAGTTGTCAGGGCTAAGCACAGAAAACTTCAGAATTATATTACAGAGCCAAAATATAGTCGATGAAAAAATTATCCTGATGATGAAATTTCACCTAGATATAGTCCTCAAATCTGAAGATAGTTGGAAGAAAATTTTTGTTGTTTTCCCCCATTATTTGAACATTCTAAAGAAAAGCAGTTTCTTCAAAAAGTTAACATGGCAAAGACCAGGCTGTGTTTTTCTACCGGATAGCTTCTAACTCCCTATGTCATTGGAGGCAAAGTTATCTCTGGGTGGGAGAGGAAGTAGCCATATTCCACTGTAGTGTGGATATTGTCTATATATGTCTCCCATTCAGCTATGTTGAACTTATTTTTCTAACCCATGTCAGTCACCCGTAGGTATTCCCACTGGAAATTAGATGCGTTCTGTCATTCAGGAGAGAAGAAAGGTAATAGAGATGAGAGCAACGTCAGTCTGTATGGACTGAGATGCGGAAACTTTAAACTTTAAACACACACACATGGATGAGGACATCCTGAACCAGGTAGTGTCACTGTACCTTCATTATTTTGTTTTAGTGCCATTACCAGAACACCAGACACTCTTCCTTCAACTAAAAGTACAAAAACACATACTAATGCCAAGTACATATGACTGTTGGATTATGTACTTTAAAAATTGTCCAGATCTTTGTTCTGTTCCAGTAACATAAATGATGAAAAAACAACAATGGCTTATATGTTAGTCCTTTCAAAATGTTATGTCTGCATTTCTTTTTCTTCAACAAACCTGAAAAATCACTTAAGAGGCTTACAGAGAACCATTGTGAAGTAGACCAATATTCTATAAAACAAGAAAATCAAATTTAAATTTTAGCATTGCTAATAATAAAATTAATTTTCTTATATATGAGTTTCAATTTTCCAGAAACTTGTAATTATATATTAAGGTAGGCAGAATACACACACACACACACACACACACACACACACACACACACACACACACACACCCTCCACATTTCAATGAGAACGCTGAGGTAGAGAAGGCCCAGAAATTTCATTCATTCATTCATTCAACTAAGTTATTGTGCAGTTTGTATACTCCACTTCTTTGCTAAGCATTGAGAACTTAGTGTTAATAAAACAGACATGGTCTCTGAATTCATGGAAATTACTCTGTTTCTTTCCACTATTAAAAAAGTACCAGAATTGTGGCTTACCCACAATTTGATCCTTACCCAAGCCGTTTTTCTAAAGCACTAGGCTGCCTAACCAGAGAGAGACACAGCACAGCTTCAAAGAAAATTAACAGATAAAAATAAAGCATGATAAAAATGAGTGTTTTTATAAGTAGCCAGAGTTGAATAATGAATCTCAATTCAATGGTAGTAATAGGTTTTCTGATTTTAACAATTATTTTATTAGTTACTTGTGCAGTAAGTAAAGAGAATAAGCAAGCTCTCAAAAAATCTTTTGGCACATAGAGTGTTTATTTTTAACTTCCATGAAACTGCTAAAGTGCCCCCTTTGGTTAAATAGTGCACATTACTGGACATTAGTCATTACATGTCTACTACAACAAATATCCTAGCCTAATGGCTCTAGCTTGCTTATATGAGTCTAATTTCATTATGTTTAAGATTTGTATGTGAATGTGAATTGTGACTATGAAATATAAATTCCAGGAGTAATTTGTTCAAGAATAGAGAATAGTAAGAAAAATAAAGTCATGCATACCTCTTCCTTTCACAAAAGGACCCATGAGTTTCAGAATAATTGAGAGAGGCCAGCCCACAAAATTAGGCTTGGGCTACAAACTGTCAACTGCCTGTCATTCCCTGAAGTGTAGCCTTCAGAGTGTTTAATGAGAGGCACATCTTCCCAAATACAGTCCATCCTGGTCTGCGCACAGTCAACATTCACTTTCTCTGAAAATCACTTCTTGTGTACCCTGATCTGAAATGTTATTATTATTTTTCCTACTGAAACTTTCTAGTACTTGTTTGTTTTCTGTGCTTTTTGTGAATTCCAAACCTACCATTTTCATGATCCTTGTATCTGTTTCTTCCTGAGCCTACAATCAGAGTTTGGTCCCAACTAGTTTTCTGTACTACAACCTCGCAGAAACAACTCCATTTTAATCAGAATCTTATAGTTCTAGTAACTTGATTTAAGATTAGTGTTTCTGGCTGACTTCTGGCTTTTTCCTTTCTCAGACATCTAGCCAAGATGCTGCGGTCATGGGACTCTCCTGTGTATGTCCTCGTCAAGGGGAGTAGTACCCAGGCCAGTCTGCCTTAGAATTCTCCCTTAGAATTCTCCCTCAGAATTCTCCCTCAGAATTCTGTTCATTGTCTTTTGTTTTTCATCTTTTTATATTAACAGTTTATTTCCTTAACAAGATTTTGTTTTCTAATAGCAATGGCATTTTATTGCTCAAAAATATTTTCTATCTTGTTTTCCTTTCTCCTTCCCCTCCTTCTTTCTCCT